CTGGACCGGTTCAGTCAGTTATTATCAGTTTCGGTCCCGGTTTTCAGTTTCAGTGTTGTTATCAGTTAAAATTCCGGGTCAAGTTCAGTTCAGTTATTTAATGTCAGTTCAGTTTTGTACTTAGCCGGTTTCAGTTATACCGAATAAGTCCAAATATCATGTCAGGTTCAGTAGAGCATCTTAACATAATTAAACAGTTAAATTATCAGTCTGAGCATAGTCAATAGTAATTGTTTATATTATTTTCAGTTTGATCAGGCATCAGCACTACCGTTCAGTTTCAGCAGTTAAGGTGGGAACTCAGACTAAGTACTACATTGTCTATAATTACGCTACCATGTTCGAGGTATCTATATTCAGTATCCGCTCGGAATGGTCGCCGGTCCATTTTGGGTTCTAGTGGCCTAATCTAACCACTAGAGTGTGCACATGGTTCAGTATTAGTTTGTGCCGGGAGATTGCGTATTAGTTTGTGCCGACAGATTTCAGTTATCAGTTACGTGACTTATGTCGCGAGATCAGACCGGTATCAGATATCAGTTCAGTTTCAGTTCAATTATATATGCTTAGTTCATGATATTGTTATTATTTACGATGTTTACATTAGTATGAGTTTCTGCGGAGCACAAGTGTTTTAGTGCTCACGCCCCCACGCATTTCATGTTTTTCAGGTCGCAGGGTCGGGGACGAGGAGTGAGCTGGCGGGCAGTTCAGGATATTTGTGATTTAAGTATATATGTTTTGCCACACAGTTGTTTCCGCTAAAATTTAAACGGTTTTCAGAAAAATCAAGTTTTTCACGGTAACATCCCGAATCAGTTTTCGCAAAATATATATTTTATTTATTTATTCAGAAAATTGCGAAAGTCGCGTACTCTGATAGTATTAAAAAGTCGGGGTGTTACAATTGCCAGGCTATTTGTGGAGTACGTGATAAAACTACATGGGGAACCACGATCTATCGTCTCATATCGAGACCGGATCTTTATGAGCAGCTTTTAGTCTGAATTCTTTAAGTTGCAAGGGACCAAGTTATCTATGAGCTCAACCTACCACCCACAGACAGACGTACAAACTGAGGTAACCAACCAAACTCTCGAGCAGTACTTAAGGTGCTATGTCCATCAATTTCTAAAGTGGTGGGAAAACTGTTTGCCTTGGGCTGAGTATTGGTACAACACCACTTATCATTAGTCAACCAAGATGATGCCGTTTGAGCTGGTATACGGGCGTAAACCCCCGACGTTGATCAACTATTCGGAAGGAAGTACAGTCAACGACAAGGTTGGTTGAGAAATCGAGGAACGAGATCTGATGTTGCGAGAATTAAAGAAAAACCTTGAAGGCTCAATTAACCGCACCAAAGGCTTCGCTGATGGAGAAAGGCATGAGGAAAACTTTGTACTGGGTGTAACACCCCGTTATTTACTGAAAATCAGAGTACGCTTTTTCGCAAATTTTCTAAATAAATAAATAAAATATTTATTTTGCGAAGACTGATTCGGAGTGTTACCGTAAAATCTGACTGACTCTGAAAACAGTTAATTTTTAATTTGATAATAAAAACAGTTATAAATATATTAACTGACTAACGTCGGGTCAAAAACTGGTTTTAAGTACTGAAAACTGTAGCGGAAACATCAGTGTAGCCAAAACATAATATATACATAATAACAAATGTCCTGAACAGCTTGTCAGCTCACTCCTCGTCTCCGACTCTGTGACCTAAAAAACATGAATAATGTGGGGGCGTGAGCACTAATCCACTGTGCTCCGCAGAAACTCATACTGAAGTAAACAGTGAAAATAATAACAATATCATGATCCTGGCATGAACATGAACATGAAACCGGTACTGAATAATCATGATCTGATCTCGTGATATACATCACCTAACTGATACCTGAACATCTGCCAGCATAAAATGTCGGACACCATGTGCACACTAGTGGGCAGACTAAGGCCACTAGAACCCAGAATGGACCGGCGACCATTCCGAGCGGATACTGAACTGATAATACACACCTCGAACATGGTACCGTAATTATAATCAATGTAATACCCAGTCTGAGTCCCCACCTGAACTTTTGATCTGAAAATGTACGTGCTGATTGCCTGCAAAACTGCGACATATATAAACAATTACTAAGTACTATGCTCAGACTGATTAAAATAGTTGTTAAGATGCTCGACTCAATTTGAATAGTTAACTGGAACCCTCTCAGGGTCTAACTTAACTGATAAGAAAAATTGGACTGAACTGGTACTGCTAAACTGAACTGAACTGACTGCACATGACTGATCATGACTGAACATGACTGATCATGACTGAACT